GATGCTTTGGAGGATAATTTGACCCCCCTCTTCATTGTGGCAGCCTCTCAAATACTGGAATACTGCTGTCATGTCACTCCTAGTCCCTCTTTTCTCTAGAATACCCATACCCAATTCCTGCAACACAAATACTTAACGATGAAAACTTTAAGAAAATTAGAGCTTTCTTTAGTGTTGCTTTGCTTTTTTTAAAAAAAATTACATTATAAACTCCGCTTTCCAACAAATACATATGAAATGAAAACAGACGACTCAGCACTCAAAGAAAAAAGAAGAAAATGAATAAAAATGTGTATATATATAAAAAGGCAAAATGCCCACAATTACAAACACATTCCAACTTCACCTGATTTTTATAAATCTTTCAAAAGGGAAATTAATTTGGGGTTTTTTTTCCCCCCAAGCCTGTCCAAGATTTTTTCCCCTCTTTTCTAGAAGGAAAAATAATGTAATGTTTTCTGATAGACAGAACACGTCATTGGGGGTGGGGCATCTGCTCTCCTTTTGGGATCTTCTGACAAACCACGTTAATGGGGAAGCAGATTCGCTAAACCGCCATGCGACTAATTTAAGAACTGCAACGATTCACTTAACAAATACATCAGGAAGGTGTCCTGGTTCCGACAGACGAAACTCTTCAAAAGAACTTCGAGGCATTGTTTACCTTAAAGAATCTTTTATTCAAGTAGCATAATATTGGCATGTCATAATCAAAGCCAAAAACTGAATCCCCCTCCCCTGGGCACATAGTATCAAAGCACCATTCCCTCCTCCAATTAACAGCCATAAATCACATTCCCCAATTAGTTTGAAGCGCAGGCTTCCTCTCCAGTTCTCCAGCCGTCAATTCCTTATCAGCTCTGGGCTCAATAACCTTGATTCTCATGCTAGGTTTAGTGTTGTTATGTCTAGCTAGACTCTCATTCACAGCATTATCTAATTCTAAAAGCAAAAGGGGAAAAGATGGCTACATTTCCATCTGTTGTCAATGCAAAACATCCAATGTTAACAGCATTGACAGAAAGGTTGTAAAACAGGGAAAAATTCAGTTAACAACTGTCTTGCTTAGTAGTGGGAATTTTGGGGTCAACTGTGATTGTAAATCCAGGACTTCCTGTATCTGGAAGGTTTCTTTTTTAATAGCTCAAGGCCTGAAGACTGAAGTTGGATTACAAGTAGACGTTGAGTCAACAGTATGTCAGGGCTAAAAAAAAAAAAAAAAAAAAACAACGCCCCACCTGAATGTAATTATAGACTTCTTGTGCCAAGCTCAAGGGATTTGCATTATTCTGTGTTAATTAGGCTTTATCACCTGCCCTGCAGCAAGTAAGTAAATCAAGTTATCAAGAAGAAGAAATGGAAAATTGCTGTGGGATGGAATGAATTAAGTGGCAAAACCCATAAGCCTGTATGTCTATACTGGGAAAGTGAAAATCTAAGACAGGGGTGTCAAACTCAATTTCATTGAGGGCCGCATCAGCATTGTGGTTGCCCTCAGGGGGCCAGGTGGGTGTGGCCAGGGTGGGTACGGCCTACTGGGTGGGCGTAGATGGAGTGGGTGTGGCCTACTGGGTAGGCATGGCCAGTTCTACATTGTTCATGTCAAGGGTGCCTATGGGGGCCTGGGCAGGAGTGGGATAGATCCGAGGGTCTCTGGCAGAAGGGGGGGACCAGGACAAGTACTGAGGCATGGTCCACTGAAGAAGCTTCACTGTTCCTCTCAGGCCATGTGGGGGGGGGGCTTATGGAGCTAAGACTGAATGTGTTTCAGCATAGATGGCTACCACAAAATTGTACATTGCCTCCCAGCTGACCTGGGCCAGGGCCAAGGCAGTGGGGGCCATTCCCTCACTGTTTCCAGGATGGCTTCGCAAGCCACATGAAACCACTTCGCGGGCTGCATCCGGCCCCCGGGCCTTGTGTTTGACATGTCTGATCTAAGAGAAGACAAGACAACGAATGTTTCTCTACCCCCCCCTCCAGACTAGACACCTGGCTCCTTTTTAGGTGTGCCATGATATAAGAGTGGGCCTTTCGATCACAGGATTTTGGCACTCATCTCTATGTTTTTGACCCCACCCTGGACACCTCTACAGAAAGGTAGTCATTTTAGATACCTCCTCCTTCCAGTTCCGTTGGCTGTACGGAGAAAACGTAGGATCTGCATCTATCATTCTTGTTGCCTTCCCTTGTCCAAAATAATATCTCTTTTCCGTGTTTATGCTTTTGTACTAGTGCAAGACATTCTGAGTCCCAAAGATGCTTTCTCACGAGGCAGCTGAACTTCCTTGTTTCTCTCTTAAGATGTTACATTTCTCCTCAAAGAAGCTTTTTCAGCTCTGACTGGATGGTGGGGAATGGAAGGATGTATATTCCTTGCAGACAGCTGGTCATTTGCATTCTTTTAGAGAGCTGTTGAGGCCACCTGGAGGTTTATCTATGTCGTCAGGGTTATCTGAGTAGTGCAAATGAGTGTGGAGCCTTCTTGGAATTGTTGAAAGGACTGTGTTATAGACTGGAGATAGATGATGTTGTATCCCTCACTCTCTGTTGAGAGAAGGCTGTTCAATAGGGTTTCCTGCTTCAGGGGGGTGGGCTCAGTGATGGGATTTAAATATCTGAACAACCGGTTCTCTTGCAGGCCTGGGCCTCTAAGGCCTAGAACGGACTTCCAGAAGTGGCATCCATGAACTTCCGGTGGGCCGTTCTAGGCCTGGGAGGCCTCCTCCAGGCCTCCCAGGCCTAGACTGGACTTCCAGAAGCAGTGTGCATTCAGCCAGTTCTCCGAACTCAGCAAAATTTAGCCACCGGTTCTGCCGAAACCAGTGTGAACTGGCTGAATCCCACCACTGGTTGGGCTACAAGACCTCCAAGGTCCCTTCCAACTCTGTTATTTCGTTATTCTGATGTTTCATTTAATGACTGAATGGAAACTGGCCTTGTAAGCCCATGTGATTTTCTCCCCAATGACCATGGTGCACTCAGCAATGGAACTGCCAGTCCCAAATTGTGGTTACTAAATGAGGACTACATATAACACACCAAATAATAGAAAGTTTAGAGTTGAGGTTAGTTTGAAGTCCAGATCTGAACTTCCTATTAAACTAAGCCACTTACCTGCATTTGTCCTCAAGGCCACCATTGAAATTGTAACTTGACTTAATTGAATTCAACCTCAACTTCAAATCTTGTCACAATGCCAAGCAGATTTTCCATTGCGTCCCCATTGCAATGGGTTCCATCCGGCTTCCCCCCCCCCAAAAAAAAGACTGTTGTTTGCTAAGCCTGATTTTCCCAGCTTACATACAATTGCTCAATCAGTTGGCATCACGTTCCAAAGCTTGTCAGCAAAGTTTCATCCCCTAGCAAGTGAATTCATATTTATTGACCAGGAGCGATCTGCAAGTCACAGCCCCAAAGGTGCAATTAGACGGTTGTTAACTCAGCCACTCCTTTACGCCAACTTGTAATTAAGAAGCTAGTTTTGTAAATGGTGCGTTTCTTATGCTGCCTTGCTAGCCCAAAGGACATGGTTTGTGGATTCGTTAGTTTAAAGAAAGAAAGAAATGCTGTATGATTTTTTTCCCCCTTTTAATGAATCATGTTGACATCCCTTTGTGTTCTAATGTAAATTCCTCGCACATTTTCAATGTTGGACTGTCAGTTCTATCCCACAGCTCCTCTAGACAAACCTAAACCACAGTAACATTGGAAGCCCTGAGTGAATGAAAGACACTATTATGTCCAGAGTGACCATCAACAAGAAAGAAGCACAGATGGACACAATAAGTTATTTCTACTCCCTCCCCCCAATGGATGGTTAGTTGAGCATCTGTCTTGCATCATTCTGCTGCAGATTTTCCCAGCTCAGAGACAGCTTTGAATTTTAGGGACTAAGATACATGTGGGGTCCTTGGTGCCTTCTGAGCTTGGTTGTTTTCTTGCAGATGTTTCATTACCCAACTTGGTTACATTATCAGTGCTAGAAGGGAGAAGGACTTGCAGAGAGGAGGTAAAGAGTAGGACTGTGGGGTCCTTGGTGCTCTCTGAGCTTGATTGTTTTCTTGCAGATGTTTTCATTACCCAACTTGGTTACATCATCAGTGCTAGAAGGGAGTGGGGCTTTCAGAGAAGAGGAGAAGAGGAGACTATGGGGTCCTTGGTGCTCTCTAAGCTTGGTTGTTTGCTTGAAGATGTTTCATTATCCAAACTAGGTAACTTCATCAGCTTTCCAGTCATTCTACAATCTTGGTGATTGCTTGGCAAGTCCTTGCACTTCAGAAAGGGCTTGCCATTGCCTCCTTCCTAGGGTTGAGAGAGAGGGACTTGCCCAAAGTCACCCAGCTGGCTTTGTACCTAAAGCAAGACTACAACTCACCATCTCTTCTTCTTCTTCTTCTTCTTCTTCTTCTTCTTCTTCTTCTTCTTCTTCTTCTTCTTCTTCTTCTTCTTCTTCTTCTTCTTCTTCTTCTTCTTCTTCTTCTTCTTCTTCTTCTTCTTCTTCTTCTTCTTCTTCTTCTTCTTCTTCTTCTTCTCCTCCTCCTCCTTCCTTCTTCTTCTTTTCCTCCTCCTCCTCCTCCTCCTCCTCCTCCTCCTCCTCCTCCTCCTCCTCCTGCTCCTCGTCCTCCTCCTCCTCCTCCTCCTCCTACATCTCCTCCTCCTCCTCCTCCTCCTCCTCCTCCTCCTCCTCCTCCCCCTTCTCCTTTTCCTCCTTACTTTCTTGAACAACCTATTGATAGGCTGCTTGAAACTTTTCTTCCACATTTGTGGTTAGACTTTCCTGTTTAATTCTATGGTTACAAACATTTCTGTCCAAATGGCACACTCAGTTGCAAACTTGGCATTTTTAAAACCACAATTCAGGGGATATCCTCCTCTCCTTTCAGCCACTACCAATTTGGAAAATGAGCCAGTCACAAAGAAGCAACTTGTCAAAAAGTCCTCCATACCCTGCAGGACGTGTGTTCATTTTTTCCCTCTTGTTCTTTCCCTTTCTGCAGACCAAGAGTTATTTTCAGCCATGTATATTGATTTCATGGGCACCGACGCGGCCATTTTCCGCAGCTTAACCAGGCGGAATGCAGTGAGGACCGATCAACACAACTCTAAATGGCTAAGTGGTAAGAAGATCTCGCTCACACTCTTTCTTGACTTTGCTCCCCAAAGAGTGGTAGAGTTCTTTGGCTATGGGCAGAATATTTTATCATGTACATCATGAAAAAGCCCCCAATGCTATAAAATAGTAGGCTCCACAATTGTGTAATAAGAGGGTTTTGGGTTATGGAGTTGCAAGCCAGAGGTACTTTTGCCTTTGAATCTGCAGTAATGCAAAATCCTGCTAGAATACATTCAATTTTCCTTTGCTTCTTGGCCTGCCTTCAGCTGCTTTGGAGAATAGGTCGATCCCCTATAGGTCGACCTATAGATGTGTTTCTTGTTGACGTGTGCTTTTTTGTGTTATTTTAGAGCCCACTTTTGTCGATGCCCACCTCATCCCAGATGGCACCCACCCCAACGATGCTAAAGTGTACTTCTTCTTCAAAGAGAAGTTGATGGACAACAGTGGTACCACCAAACAAATCCACTCCATGATTGCCAGAATATGCCCCGTAAGCAAAGATGTTCATATGGTGCTAAGGACGTAAACAACTCACAATTAATGGGATCAGGGGAATAATATCCTAAATGCTTTATATCGGAACTAGAAATCTAAAATTGTGACATGTTTCTGTTTATAAACGACAAATTTAAACCAAGCTTCCCCCCCTCCAGAAAAAGAAGGGAAGCTATAAATAGATCATGCTTCATTATCCCAAAAGCATCTGCAATGTAATGATGATCTGAATAGCCAACATGTTCATGTGGCTTTTTTGCAGCTAGTTCCTGTGTGTAGCCATTTCATTGTGGTTGTAGCCACAGTGGATAACAAGATGTGTTTGGAGGAAGTGGTAAACACCATACTGAGATATTTAAAAATCGGGAGAAATAGAGAAATGTTTGCAGTTTCTTTGCAAAGAAACAGAGATTCTCCTTCATGGAATAACTATTGTTTTCATTTCTATCTTCTGAGCTATGAGTTGGCCAGAAACAATGTGATGCCAACTTGTAGGAAAGAATTATTCCTTATTTTCTTTTTTTTTTTCTATAGCTGTATCATTAAAGTGAGCATTTTGTCTGTCTACTTTTAGGATACGGGTGGAAATAACATAGATGTAATAGTAAGCTGCACGTATTCCATGTGGGATATTTGAAAATTCCACATAAGTGATAGATGTTTGTGGATCCAATATGGGTCGGTCACTGGGACCGGAGATTTAGTGTTCTGAGCTTTTGGACTCATGCTGGAGCCAGTGGTGGGATTCAGCTGGTTTGGTAGAACTGGTAATTAATTTTTTGTTGACTCATATCGTGCTAATGCAAAGAAGCTGGAGATGGACATTTTATGACTTCAGCTAGCTGTGCAGTCATTTGCACGTATTACTGTTGTTTTCCCTTAAAAAAAATCTCCCTAGATTTTAATAAAACATTCAAATATATAAATCTTCAGCATTTTAAATCTTCAATCCCCTTTTCATATCAAGCGCATGAACTAATATTCTGAGGAGGTCGGGGTGCTCATTTGAAAGGGATGAGCAGTAGAATAGCTCCTTTGTGCTTTAAAAAAATTGTTTATTTTTTAAGTTGATTAATCATTGCCAAAACACACCTTGTGACCTTAAACTTGCACTCCTATTTTGTTCTTCTTTTTTTTTCTTATTAAGCCGCCTGGAGATATTTTTCGGAAGATGCTAACTATGATTAAATCATTGTTGTCCTAATGAGGCCCAGGTCATTTCTTAGAAGATTTGAGACACATTTTCCTTGAAGCATCTATGCCAAAATGTGAAAAACAGGCTTCAAAAGATTGAGATCTGAATGTGTGTGTTGATTTCTGATGACGTTTTTACAATTTGGCATCAATAATTTTATTCAAAGGGTTGGCCGAAGACCAATACTACTTAATAAGTTCTATTTCAACACAGGAAGATGACACAGAGGTTTAAAGTCAGTCTTCCCATTTTAGAACCACAGGTTTAATTAGCACTTTGCAATTCAATTAGCCAATAAATTAAAAGCACAAAGATGGAGGAAACAGCAACAAAGGAAGGGCATAAAACTATATGCATTGATGTCCAATCTGTAATAAAGCTATAGGCCACTAAATAAGATAAAATCCTGCAAAGTTATCCAATGTTTGTTTTTTACTGCCTGCTTTATTTAAGTAAAAAAATCATCTTCAGCAGGAATTTTGCACCTTGCTTCAATATCTTAATTTCTTCAACTGCTCAGTAAGCAAATCTTTGTTTCATTACTTAATACCTATAAAATATGGTGGGGATTATCCTAAAGTGAAGATAAATGAATTGTACATTACGAGGGCAATTCGGAAATAAACCTCCGTTTGGTTATCAGTGACAGACATACACAGATACAGAACTTTTATTATACACATTAGAAAAC